AAAAAAAAAAAAAAAAAAACAAACACACACAAATGGAAAATACGCATAAAAAAAGGTGTTCAACATCATTCATCATCAGAGAAATGCAAATCAAAACTACAGTATCATCTCACCTCTGATAACACCGCTTATATCCAAAAGACAGGAATAACAAATGCTGGTGAGGATGTGGAGAAAGGGAACCCTGGCCCACTGCTGGTGGGAAGGTAAATTAGTACAACCACAAAGGAAACAGTTTGGAGGTTCCTCAAAAAATTAAAGTTATCATATGATCCAGCAATCCCACTGCTTGGTATATGCCCCAAAGAAGGGAAATCAGTATATCCAAGAGATATGCACACTTTCATGTTTGTTGCTGCACTATTCACAACACCCAAGATCTGGAAGCACCAAAGTGTCCACGAACAAATGAACAGATAAATAAAATATGGTACATAGACACAATGGAGTACTATTCAGCCATCAAAGATAACAAGGCCCTGTCACTTACAACAACATGGATGTAACTGGAAGTCATCGAGTGAAATAAGCCAGGCACAGAAAGACAAACTTCACATGTTCTCACGTATTTGAGGGAACTCAAAATCAAAACAACTTAACATATGGAGATAGTTAAGCATGGTTACCAGAGGTTGGGAAGGATGGTGGGAGATGCAGGGGAGGGAGATAAGGATGGTTAATGGGTACAAAAAGTACAGTTAGAAAGAATGAATAGTATCTAGTATTTGATAGCACACAGGTTTATTATAGTCAAAATAATTGTAAATTTTAAAATACTAAAAGAGTATAATAGGATTGTAACACAAAGGATAAACACTAGAGGGGATGGATACCCCATTTTCCATGATGTGATTATTACACAATGCATGCCTATATCAAAATATCTCATTTACCCCATAAATACACACACTTACTATGTGTATAAAACATTAAAATTTTAAAAAGAGAGAGTAAACAAAAATTAAATAAGAGAATCCTTATATTGTTTGCTTCTGCAGGGGTGGGAATCCACTCCCCAACCCCTTTCCTAGCTTGTCTCAGTTTTCTATTATGTGTTTTATTTGCAGTGGGAAATTCTTTTTAGGGAGTTCTCTAAGCAAAAATGTAATGAACCTGTCATTCTACTATAATGTGGGGTCCTTTTGTCCCAGTATTTTCCTGCTCTTCAGACACTGGCAAAAACTAAAAGATGGAATAAAAATATTTTTAGTAAAGGATTTAATTATAAATCTAACTAGCAAATCTGTAGCCATTATCAAAATATGTTACTTGAAATGTTATGTATGATACATTTCTTATTCCTAAACTAACAAATAATCATTGATTTGCATAAGGCATTAAGATAAAACATTGCCTAGGTTTCCTTCCCTGGTTCCATCAACTCCATTTTGGGGGATAGTGAGGACAGAAAGTAAGAACTAAAATTAGGTAAGAACTGGTAAAAGCTTGAAAGTAGACTCTTTACTCCTCTAAGGAGAGTTACACTATCCCATCAATTAATAATGATAATTTACAATAAGAATTTAGATGACTGGTGCATCTAAACGGAAAATACTTTTTCAGTGGCTTTCAGAAAATGTGTGCTTACTAAAAACTTATGCATATACACATACCTATAACTATACCTATGCATATATACTCATGTACAATTTGTAATAATTCTTTGAACTGAACACTCATGCCTTGGCTAATTGTTTGTTTGTGTGTGTGTGTGTGTGTGTGTGTGTGTGTGTATCAAATTAAAAAGTTAAAACACAAGCCTTTGTATGGAATTATTAATAACTGTATATTTACTTACTATTATTTCCTTAGCTTGTCGAACCACGTCAGCTGTTTTTGCCTGCAATTCTGCATTTAAACGCCTAAAAGCAGAAAATAATAACTGGAATATACTGAAGATCCTAACAAAAATAAAAATTAAACTTTAGCAATTACACCTTATCAAGTGACCTAATCAACAAATGCCAATATATACATAGAGCATTCTTACTCTAAAATGAATACGGCCGTTAAGAACTTATCCACCTCACGATTCCCCCTTCCCTGTGGTAGGAACTCAAACACTAAGTATTAGCCTTTCTGTGGCCCTCTATTAACTTCAAGTGAACTAACATATCTGACTAATACATTTAGGAAGAATGAACTAGTCAAGTTCAGCTCTGTTCCACTCACTACTTCTTGGGATTAGCCTACCTGCAGTGAATACAAGTTCTAACCTTGCTTCTCCAGAGACAGGCCCTGTTCTAACTGTGGGCAGGATGTTGGGGAGACCTGCTCTGGTTTAGGGTGTTGCTGGAAGTGGGGAGCTAAATGTGAGGTTTTGTGAGCAGACCCAATGTGGCTCCCATTTTGGCTGCACACTTTAATTTAAAGCTTCCTCAGTAAATAAAGGTGACTATATTGATCTCTACCTATCACTCCTTTTTAAATTATGCTTTTTCATTCTACTTGGAAACTAGCATGAATAGGAATACTATTTACTTGATCCTCCAATAAGACTGCAAGAATGACAATATTATTGAAAGAAATTGTTTTTAAAGGAAAAACTGCCCATAATCCTACCACCACCATCCAACCATTTTTATTTTTAATACTCCCTTCCAATTTTCATCTATAGCATATACACAATTTTATACTGTTTTCCCACAGCAATATAAAAGGAATATCTATCTCGATGTAATCTTTATAAGCATGTTAAAGGGCAATAAAATAATGCAATAAATTGAAATTAACATAATGTACTGAACTCTGTCGCTATTGTTAAGTCCCCCTTTCACTTTTAAAGGTTAACACCACAATAAACATATTCAAAAGCATATAACTTTTTCTGCTGTTGAAATGTCACATTTCTAGACTATCTAGGATCTTTTGAAGTTATGTGAAGGAGACATGTTAAGGATTTTAAAAATCAGATATCTTATTTTTCTTAGACATGTAATTCAGAAGTAACACAAAACACAATTTCCATTCCCAGGGAAAAAAAGGGCGAGATCAGTACCATATTCTTTAACAGTATGAAGCTTTCAGAAATATTTCTATATCTTAGGATTACTTGGTCAAAAGAAATATACCTAAGAAAGACTTAAAGGTGTCTTAGAAGTGCCATTACCTGATTTTTCAAATTTCCCTAACAAGAATCACAGGGACTTAAATGGAAGTTTGCAATTAATATAATGGACCCAGATGACTGAGAAGACTATTCTACTCTAAATCCACAGAAATGTCTGATAAAATGTAATGGAGGAAACATTGCTAAGCTCAAACTCAGGCAAAGGAAATTCCCTGGTAATAAGAAGAAAGCAGCAATTCAAAGTGAGAGCAATAAACAGGAACAGAAGCCAAAACAGCTTAAAAGCTAGAAGCTGATGCATGTGAGTCACGAAGGGATAAACCTGTGAAGCACAGACTACAACAACTCTACCCACAACCTTAGGTGAGCAGAAATGAAACCAGAGTCATGGGCAGAAAAGATTCTCTTGTGAGTAATTCAACAAGAGGGAAGTCCAAATTCATCTTATCCAGATGATACAGGGACACCATGCCAAAACTTTAAAATAGAAAGAGCTGGTGTGGAATCAATGAAAACTCTGAACTAGTAAAGGTAAATTGAAATCCACCCTATAGGGACATTTACTCATCCACAAAATATACACTTTCTCAGAAAGCAAACTGCTAAAGATGACTTTGAAAAGATAACAAACTGTGTAAAGAAATAAGCCACTGAAAGAGAGAATCAGATGTGAGGAAACAGAAAATTTGTATTATAAGAACAAGAGATACTATTAACAATTTTTAAAAGATTTTAAATTACCATTGGGGAAAAAAACACAGAGAAATAAAAAACATTAGACAAGACCCAGATTTTATCACAAAAGAATGCTGAATTTGAAAAAGAACCAAATACAAATTATATAAACAAAAAACACAGTCACTGAAATTAAGAAATCCGATAAAAAGGAATGCATGAATTAGAAGACAGAAAGAAATCACCTACAAGGAGATACAGAAAACAAGGGGATAAAAACTCAAAGGATAGGTTAACATCCATTGAAGACAGATGTTATGTACCTATCATAACAGAAGTTATAGAAAGGAATCCCAGAGAGGGCTGAGTGCAGTGACTCCCACCTGTAATCCTAGCACTTTGGGAGGTGGAGGAGGAAGGATCACTTGAGGCCAGGAGACCAGCCTGGCCAACATGGAGAAACCCCAGCTCTACTGAAAATACAAAAATTAAGGCCAGACGTTGTGGCCCATCCCTGTAATCCCACCACTTTGGGAGGCTGAGGCGGGCAGATCACCTGAGGTCAGGAGTTCGAGACCATCCTGGCTAACATGGTGAAACTGTTTCGACTAAAAATAGAAAAATTAGCCAGGCATGGTGGCAGGCACCTGTAATCCCAGCTACTTGGGGGGCTGAAGCAGGAGGATGACTTGAACCCAGGAGGTGGAGGTGGCAGTGAGCCAAGATCATGCCACTGCACTCCAGCTTGGGCAACAAAAGCCAAACTCCATCTTAAAAACAAAAAAAAAAATTATGCAGGTGTGGTGCTGCATGCCGCTAGTCCCAGCTACTCAGGAGGCTGAGGCATGAGAATCACCTGAACCTGGGAGGTGGAGGTTGCAGTGAGCCAAGATCCTGCCACTGCACTTCAGCCTGGGCAACAGAGCAAGATTCTGTCTCCAAAAGAAAAGAAAAGAAAAGACATCCCAAGAGGAGAGAACGTCAATATTTAGAGAGCTAATGCTCAGAATCTCCCAAACTGAAGACATGGATCTCATGAAGAATAAAGAAAACAAATCTACATGTGTATACATCATAGTGAAAGTACAGAATTTTAAAGATAAAGAGAGTACTCACTAAACTACCAAATCATTATTTCAAAAGAACAGAGAAAAACAGTCTACCAGCATAATTATCTAAAAAGCTAACAGCAGATGGCTCATTAACATTTCTAACATTCTAACATTTCTATCCTTGTATTTCCAACAGACGATATAAGGATATCTTTAATGGGCTGAGAAGGAAAAACTGGCTATCTAGAATTACATTCGGATAGTGTCATTGAAGAATAAGTGCAAGTAACAAATTTCTAAAAGACTGGAGAGTTTAAGACAGATTTTCACAGAAAGAAGTAATGAAGCTTCTACACTTCATGAAGGAGGAAAACTGAATCTGGAAAAAAGGAATCATGAAGATATCGCAAAACATGCTAAATCTAAATTAGTACAGACCATAAAAATAACACTGGTGATTAACTGGGTGTGGGTGTATTCAAAACAACAAAGTAAAATACTATCTAACTTAAAAAACAGAGGAAACCAAGTTAAAGCGTTCTAACATCTTTCCAAACCAGTAACAATAAAGACATAATGAAAACCCATTCAATCTAGAAGCAGACAGACAAGAACCAAAGACAAGATATACTAAATAGAAAACATAAAAAATAAGGTGGCTAAGACAACTTCAAGTTACGTAATAATGTAAATAAGTTAAATTCACCTATTAACAGGCAGAAATTATCAGACTGGTTATAAAAAGAATGCTCTTATTGATAAATGACATACAAAGTTTGAAAATAAGGGATGAAAAAAGCTATAACAGACACCACATAAGAATGAAAGGATTCAAGAAGATTTACATAAGTCAAATAAGGTACTCCCAAACAAAAATGGCCACAATTATAAGACATTTTTTTCTATAATTATAATTGATGATTTTTAACACACTTCTAACATTAGCCAATAAAGCCAGAACAAAAAAAAGTTGAGGAAACCAATGTCATAGATAACAAATACAATTGGCTTAATCTAACGGATTAGCCAACACAATATACTTTCTATCAAAGAACACATAGAACTTCTACAAATAGTGAACATGCACTTGGCCACAAATAAGTCTCAATACATTTTAAAAACTTAGTATCTTATCAATTCTCTAATCATAATGCAATTTAAAATAAACCAGGCCAGGCATGGGGGCTCATGCCTGTAATCTAAATCAGAATAATAGTACTTTGGGAGGCTGAGGCAGGCAGATCGTTTGAGTCCAGGAGTTAAAGACCAGCCTGGGCAACATGGTGAAACACCCTCTCTACAAAAAAATATAACACAAAAATTAGCTGTGCGTGCTAGCACATGCCTGTAGTCCCAGCTAGTCAGGAGCCTGGGAGGTGAAGGTTGCAGTGGGCTGAGATCACACCATTGCACTTCAGCCTGTGCAACAGAGTAAGACCCTGCCTCAAAAAAAAAAAAAAAAAAAGCCTGGCATGGTGGCATGTGCCTGTAGTCCCAGCTCCTTGGGAGGCTGAGGTGGGAGACCCTCTTGAGCCCAGGAGGTCAAAGCTGCAGTGAGCCATAATTGCACCACTGCACTCCAGCCTGGGCAAGAGAACAGGGCCCTGTCACATACATACTTAGAAAAGTAAAAAGCAGACAACAGTAAACAACTCTACGTGCTTGCAAACTAAAAAACACACTTCTAAATAATCACTATGAAAACCACATAATATTTAGAACTTAATGACCATAAGGGAAATATACACCAAAAGAAGTCCTGGAATGTAGTTAAGTTGTAGTTGGAGAGAAATTTAAAGACTTAAATAGGAAACCCTGCCAAGATGGCCGATTAGGAGCAGCTCAGGATTGCAGCTCCCAGCAAAAGCATGGAGGGTGAGTGGACGCTGCATTTCCAGATGGATTTTTATTGCCCACAGACCAGGAGATTCTCAGGCAGAGAAGCCCCACGGGTCTCCAGTGCAGCTGTTTTGGCTGGCGCAGTGGGCCTCCTCACAAAATACACAGGTCCAGGTGCCATTTTAGCTGGCGATTGGAGCACCTGGGAGACAGAGTCACCTATTCAACTGATAAAACGAGGGACTGAAACAGGGAGCCGGGCCAGGAGATTCCCGGGCAAAAAAGCGCCACGAACATCCACATGGTTGTTTCAGCTGGTGCAGTGGATCACACCTCACCCACTATGGGAAATCACATAGACCCCGGCGCCTTTTCAACAGGTGACTGGAATGCCTGGGAGATAGGGTCGCCCATTCAACTGAAAAAAAGGGCACTGAAACAGGGAGCCAGGTCAGAAGATTCCTGGGTGAAAAAGCACCATGAGCCCCAGTGCAGCTATTTCAGCCGGCTCAGCGGGTCTCTGCACAAAATCTCACACAAATCCAGGAGTCTTTTCAACTGGCAACTGGAACGCCTGGGAGACAGAGTCACCCGTTCAACTGAAAAAAAGGGGACTGAAACAGGGAGCTAGGCCAGGAGATTCCCCAGCGAAAAAACACCACAAGTCTCCAGTGGCTGTTTCAGTCAGTGCAGCAGGTCTATGCACAAGAAATCACACAAATCCAGGTGCCGTTTCAACTGTGACTGGGACGCCTGGGAGACAGAGTTGCCCATTCAACTGAAAAACAAAGGGGTCTGAGGCAGGGAGCCAGGTGATCAGTCTCAGCTGGTCAAACCCCTACAAAAAATAGCAATCTGAAACGCTTTGGATTGAGAGTTTCACAGCAAGCACAGCTGAACCCGGGGCAGTCCAGCTCTGTTGGGGAGGGGCATCCACCATTACCGAGGCAGTCCACCACTACCAAGGTGGTCTGCCATTGCTGAGGAAGCCCGCCATTGCCAAGGCAGTCCGCCATTACAGAGAGAGTCCACCATTACAGAGGTGGGCCGCCATTGCCAAGGCAGTTCTAACTAAACCCCTATAAACAGGACTGCAGGGAAGTTCACACAGCAGCTGGGTGGAGCCCACAGCAGCTCAGCAAAGCCTCTGCAGGCAGACTGTGACTAGGCTGCCTTCTTGCTGGGCAGAGCAGCCCTGAAAAAAGGCAGCAGCATGACAGAAACTTATAAAAAAAAAAGCCCTACCTCCTGGGACAGAGCACCTGGGGAAAAAAAAAAGGCATTTATGAGTTCTGCTACAGCAGACATAAACGTACCTTCCCAGCAGCTCTGAATGAAACAATGGAGCTCACAGCTTAGCACCTGAGCTCCTATAAAGGACAGACTGTCTCCTCAAGCAGCTCCCTGACCCCCATATATCCAAAGAGTCACCTCAGAAAGGAGAGCTCAGACTGACATCTGGCAGGTATCCTTCTGGGAAAAAGATGGCAGAAGAAGAAACTGGCAGCAACCCTTACTCTTCTGCAGCCGCTGCAGGTGATCCCCAGGCAAGCAGGGCCTGGAGTGGACCTCAGCAGCCCTAGGGCAGAGTAGCGCGACTGTTAGAAGGAAAACTAAAAAACAGAAAGAAATAATTTCATCATCAACAAACTGGACATCCACTCACAGACCCAATCTGAAAGTCAACAACTGCAAAGATGACAGGTGGATAAATCCACAAAGATGGGAAGAAACCAGCACAAAAATGATAAAAATGACCAACATCATCCTGATACCAAAACCCGGCAGAGGCTCAACAAGAAAAGAAAACTTCAGGCCAATATCCATGATGAATATAGATGCAAAAATCTTCAATAAATACTGGCAAGCCGATTGCAACAGCACATCAAAAAGCTTATCCACCATGATCAAGTAGGATTCATCCCAGGGATGCAAGGCTGGTTCAACATATGCAAGTCCGTAAACGTAATTCACCACATAAACAGAACCAAAGACAAAAATCACATGATTATCTCAATTGATGCCTTTGACAAAATTCAACAGCCCTTTATGCTAAAAACCCTCAATAAACTGGGTATTGACGGAACGTATCTCAAAATAATAAAAGCTATTTATGACAAACCAACAGCCAATATCATACTGAATGGGCAAAAACTGGAGGCATTCCCTTTGAAATCTGGCACTAGACAAGGATGCCCTCTCTCACCACTCCTATTTATTATAGTACTGGAAGTTCTAGCCAGAGAAATCAGGCAAGAAAAAGAAATAAAGGGTATTCAAATAGGAAAGGAGGAAGTCAAATTGTCTCTATTTGCAGATGACATGATTGCATATCTAGAAGACCCCATTGTCTCAGCCTAAAGTCTCCTGAAACTGATAAGCAACTTCAGCAAAGTCTCAGGATACAAAATCAATGTGCAAAAATCACAAGCATTCCTATACACCAATAACAGACTTAAAGAGAGCCAAATCAAGAATGAACTGCCATTCACAATTGCTACAAAGAGAATAAAATATCTAGGAATACAGCTAACAAGGAACATAAAGGACCTCTTCAAGGAGAACTACAAACCACTGCTCAAAGCAATAAGAGAGGAGACAAAGAGATGGAGAAACATTCCATGTTCATGGTTAGGAAGAATCAATATCGTGAAAATGGCCATACTGCCCAAAGTAATTTACAGATTCAACTCTATCCCCGTCAAGCTACAAATGACCTTCTTCACAGAACTGGAAAAAAAAACCTTAAACTTTGTATGGAACCAAAAGAGAGCCCGCATAGCCAAGTCAATTCTAAGCAAAAAGAACAAAGCTGGAGGCATCACACTACCAGACTTCAAACTATACTACAAGGCTACAGTAATCAAAACAGCATGGTACTGGTACCAAAACAGACATATAGACCAATGGAACAGGACAGAGGCCTCGGAGGCAACACAACATATCTACAACCATCTGATCTTTGACAAACCTGACAAAAACAAGCAATAGGGAAAGGATTCCCTGTTTAATAAATGGTGTTGGGAAAACTGGCTAGCCATGTGCAGAAAGCAAAAACTGGACCCCTTCCTGACACCTTACACTAAAATTAACTCCAGATGGATTAAATACTTAAACATAAGACCTAACACCATAAAAACCCTAAAAGAAAATCTAGGCAAAACCATTCAGGACATAGGCGTAGGCAAAGACTTCATGACCAAAACACCAAAAGCATTGGCAACAAAAGCCAAAATAGACAAATGGGACCTAATCAAACTCCACAGCTTCTGCACAGCAGAAGAAACAGTCATTAGAGTGAATCGGCAACCAACAGAATGGGAAAAAATGTTTGCAGTTTACCCATCTGACAAAGGGCTAATATCCAGAATCTACAAAGAGCTAAAACAGATTTGCAAGAAAAAAACAAGCCCATTCAAAAGTGGGCGAAGGATATGAACAGACACTTCGCAAAAGAAGACACATATGAGGCCAGCAAACATATGAAAAAATGCTCATCATCACTGGTCATTAGAGAAATGCAAATCAAAACTACATTGAGATGCCATCTCACACCAGTTAGAATGGCGATCATTAAAAAATCTGTAGACAACAGATGCTGGAGAGGATGTGGAGAAATAGGAACACTTTTTTACATTGTTGTGGGAGTGTAAATTAGTTCAACCATTGTGGAAGACAGTGTGGCGATTCCTCAAGGACCTACAAATAGAAATTCCATTTGACCCGGCAATCCCTTTACTGGGTATATATCCAAAGGATTATAAATCATTCTATTATAAGGACACATGCACACAAATGTTCATTGCAGCACTGTTTACAATAGCAAAGACTTGGAACCAACCCAAAAGCCCATCAATGATAGACTGGACAGGGAAAATGCAGCACATATACACCATGGAATACTATGCAGCCATAAAAAACAATGAGTTTGTGTCCTTTGTAGGGACATGGATGAACCTGGAAACCATCATTCTCAGCAAACTGACACAAGAACAGAAAATCAAACACTGCATGTTCTCACTCATAGGCAGGTGTTGAATATTGAGAACACATGGACACAGGGAGGGGAGCATCACACGCTGGGGTCTGTCGGGGAGAAATAGGGGAGGGACAGCGGGGTGTAGAGAGTTGGGGAGGGATAACATGGGGAGAAATGCCAGATGTAGGTGATGGGGTGGAAGGCAGCAAATCACACTGCCATGTGTGTACCTAGGCAACAATCTTACATTTTCTTCACATGTACCCCAAAACCTAAAATGCAATGAAAAAAAAAGACTTAAATATATTTATTTAAAAATAAGAAAACAATAAATGAGGTCAAGAAACTAAAAAAAAAAAAATTAATCCACCCCAGTAAGATCATCTGTCTGTCTTTATTTCTATAAAGGTTAATGAAATTTTACAATAGCACAGATTACCAAGAAAACCAAAGCTGGTTCTCTGAAAAGACTAATAAAACAGATAAACCTCCCAGGAACCTTGATAGAAAAAGATAAAAATAAACAATATTGGAAAGCAACCAAAAGGAGGGGTGTACATGATTATAGATACAGTCCAGATTTCAAACATACAACCATAGAGTCCATTTATGCTAATATGTTTTAAAACACACATGCATACTTTTCTAGAACCAAAAATTATTCTAGACATAGAACATCTAAATAGATGAGTAACCATTAAAGGAGCTAAATTCATAGACAAAAAGTCCTCCTTGACAAAAGAACACTAGAATGACACAGTTTCACAATTTTAATCAAAGGGCAAAAAATCTCTAATTATAAGAAGCTTCCAAGAAAAGAAACAAAACAAGAAAACTATTCGGTTTATTTCATCTTGCCAGAATAATATTGATATCAAAGGACAAGAACTAGAAAAAAAGTGTAACATCCATTTCACTTTTGTTCATAGACACAAAAACCTACATAAAAAATTATACCCGTCAAACCTAGCAGTCTTTAAAGGAAAACAAGAAAGCTACCTTTGCAGTTCAGTATGTTAAAGCATTAAAGGAGGGGAAAAGAACATACCACCACCTGGGTTAATTGGGGAAAAAGAAGTTGTGATACATTTTACACTCATTCAAATTAGGAATTAAGGGGACGAATTTTAAACATAAAAAAAGAATCTACCAAAACCCTAAGGCAAACTTCAAATGTAGTGATTATTAAAAGTGGGCTTCTCAAAATCATAAACAATGTAAGGAAGCTCACTGTCACTTTTTCTATTCCATATCACATGGGAAGTCCTAAACAGAGAAAAGGAGAGAATGCAGGAGAATTATCAAGGGAGAAAATGATCATAATTTGCATATAAATGTCTTCATCAAAAATGCAAGGGACTTCATAGAATGAATAAGAGAGTCCAGCAGGAATGAAGATCTGTGTGTATGTAAATACAGATGTAGCTCCAACATCTAAAAATCCTACATGTATAACCAATTAGAAAATATAATAGAAAAAAGTCCACTTATTATATAGCAACAAAACTATTCAGCATCTTGAAGCAAATTATATATGCAAGAATTTTATGTAGTAAAACAAAACACTATTAAAGGTTAAAAAAAAAACCCTGTAAATGGAGATGTATCATATTTCATGGAAGATTCAATAGCATAAATAAATCCATTATCTGCAAATTAATCTGTAAATCCAATGTAACTGGGATTTATGAGGGTGCTTGCCCTCCCAGTTATCATGTAATCTTATTGTTTAGCTATTGGTATTATAATACAGGAAGAAGCTTGAAAAATCTATCCACTTGAATGATTAGCATCTTCCTTAGTCTATCCTCTCAAATAGTGATTATTTCCCCCAACAGGAGCAGAACTGCAAAAGGTTTTGGATTCAGGTCGCTGGGAAGTAGTGTTCTAATGCTGATGCCAAGACAACAGGTGGCAAAATAGATACCATACTGTTATAATCTCATATTCTTGCTTACAGGGATGGCCAGACATGTTACACTTCTACCTGACACAGAAGTACTCTAGAAGATTCAGGTAGTGTAGAGACTTACTCCCTTCATATGCTTCACGTGTGCACAACTCAGAGCACAGACAACAAAACAAGTAACAACTGGACACCATGTAATACTGTTTAGCTATCTCGCTTTATAAAACAACTCATGCTAGCATCATAGTCCCTGCATATTTCTTATTTCAAGCAGGATTATATCCCTAACGATGCACCAGAGCCAGGTGCAAAACATACTCTCAAATAACTGACAAACCTAATCCAGGTATTTAATACTATATGCTTAATAATATTGAAATAACCATTTTGATTGATGCACAGCTGAAAAGTATATATAGACAACAGATTAAGTTGCTTAAGTACACTTGTGAACTGGGATAATAGGCCCATTTGATCAGAGAGAAGATGTGATTATCTTCCCACTTGCTGTGGTAAATTGGTGTATAGTTCATCTAAACATAGTACTCCTCAGTTTTAATTTCAAATGTGCTTTAATTTTAAATAGACATCATATGTAGATCATACAGTACCTCTAGTTTAACCCTCTGATACAAACTCCCAACTATTTCCAAATTTTAAACTACTTATTTTATATTGTTAGAAAGGGAGTTGTCAAAAGACACTTTTTATAAGGGTGTGCACAATGGTAAATAAAACAGACACGGTCTCTGCCCTTGGAACTTACAGTCCAGTGGAAAAGACAGACAAAAAGGAAATCAACAAATGCATTTATTGTAACAAATTATGCTAACTAGAAAGAAAAATCAGTAAGATGTTGAAAAAGCCCAACAAGGAAGCCGACTTAGCATAGTCAAGGAAGGCCACTCACAATACAGGTTGAAGGCGCGTGTGAATTGTCTTTTTCCTAAGACAGAAAAAAAAACCGAAACATTTTGGACTAAAAGGCCAGTTAAGCTGGAGAGCTTTGAGGGGGAAATGGGAGCAGGAATAAGATCAAGTAAAAAGGGGGCAGGAGGAGCTTTTAAAGTGCAACAGGAAACCACCGTAGAGTTTTAAGCAAAGGAATTGCATGACCAAATTAAAAGATTACATTGGCTGCTGTGTGAAAACTTTGGGATGATGAGTGGAATGGGCCAAGAATGAAAGTTTGTCAAGATACTTGTAATTACACCGAGACCAGATAAGGAAAATCTGAACAAGAACGGTAATTCTGATTGCACTGGGAAGCATGATGTCAATTTAGAAACCAATGTAAAGGAAATTTACATAAGGTAAACTCTATAAACTTGCTACTAAGCGAAATAACTTAAACTAGAAACAACTATTCGTGGCAATTCCTGCTACTCAAATAACTTCCAAAAGCATACTGCTGTTTACTTGGGCTAAATTTTCACCCACTTCAAACATCTTCTAAGACGCAGGTGAACTACTCAGGTGAAAGAGAAGGGATAAACGGCGAGTGAACGAGATGACGAGAAGGGAAAGCTGCAGTGAGTGGTCCTGCAGATCCAGCCAGTCTTCAGAAAAAGTACTCGTAGGCAGCCTCATTTAGATGAAAGAAAGAAGGAAAGCTCCACCGCCGAATTTCTTACTTACGTTCTTCCTCCAAAGCGAGGAGGTCGGGTCCAGGTGTAGAGGGTTGTTGAACTGGTGGCAGGAGCGGAGTCCCTGGAACGCTGCTTCTCTGTAAGAGAGGCAGAGAGTTTGAGACCCGAAGATAAAGGAGGTTAGGCGTCCTAGTCGCCGGAGCCCGGACACTCCCGAGGAGCCTGGAGTTGAACCGGCCGTGAGACCAAGACCTCGCCCTGCCATCTTCGGCAACTGCGACGCGGTTACCGAGGCAACGACGCATCTTCCCTCGAGAGTTTCCGCATCCCGGGCAACGTCCTGTCCCGGCGCCGACGCCTTCCCACTCCCAGGTTCTGTGCGGAAAGCGGCGGGAGGCTTCGGCAGGGGGCCCCACCCTTGCTTGCACTACTCGGCACTGCCCCAGGAACTAAGTGCAAATGCGACTTACAGCCAGTGCAAATTATCAACTTGGGTGGGTCGGGGGGTCGTAGGAGTTTCAACCAAAAAAGGCAGGTCCATTGCTGCGACTCCACAGAAAGCAAGCTGCTGAGGAAGTCCCTCCCTGTTTTGCTTTTCAAACCCTTAGTGGCTAATCTGACCTTCACTCCGTTTGCTTAAAGTGAACTCTTCAGTGGAATTCTGAAGTTTTGATTTCTACCTTTCGTTTACAGCATGCACGGCTAAGATCTCAGGATCTCAGATTAGTCAACCTAAATTATTACACTGGCACTGCCACTTAGTAGTTACTTATGTGGCCTTGGGCAAAACACTCTGTACACTGGCCACTTCATCTGTCAAAAGGGAATGAGAATAGTGCCCACTTCACAGTTGTTGTGAGAAGCAAATGAATTCATGCTTAGCATCATGCCTGAAACACGTAAGCCATTAATAATTCCAATTGTTTTGGAATAAAATGGACGTCCAGAAATATACCTTCATGTGTGTATGGTCAACTGATCTTTAGCAAGGGTGCAAGACCATTCAATGGGAAAAGAATCATCTTCAACAGATGGAGAGACAACTGGGTATCCTGGTGCAAAACAATGCAGTTAGATCCTTACCTCACATCATATACAAAAATTAAAATGGATCAAAGACCTAAATGTAGGAACTAAAACTCTAAAGCTCTTCAAAGAAACTGTTTTAAATCTTTATGACCTTGAATTAATTACAATTCTAAGAATCTTTGATGGATTCTTAGCTAGGACAACTGAAAGCATTACCAAAAAAAAAAAAAAAAGAAAAGCAAAATAGATAAACTAGACATTATCAAAACTAAAAACCTTTTGTTTCAAAAAATACCATATTGGAACATAGAGAAATGAATAATTCTGCATGAGAGAAATGAGGGGAGGAGTCAAAGGGAAAGTGATGGTTCTCTGACTGCTTCTAGGTTGAGAAGATAGCAAACGGCATTTCAGAAAACAGGATTTATTACCAAAGATATGAAAATAATGAAATATATTGCCTACATAGAAGCTGTGAATTCTTTGAACAGCAATCTGTTCCTAGGTGATAGGGATACTGATTAGAAAGGTACATGGAGGCTATATTTTATAGTCTTGCATGAAATGCGTAGAGTTGCATGCACATATGTAGGTATGTTTTTCTACACTGAGTTTATCCACAAAGCATTTTAGGTGGCTTCTGAGAGTTTGAGTTTCAAGCTGTGAGCAAATCAAATATTATAACAAGGAGGAACATGATTACATCTGAGTCGGAGAGGTCTCAGGGACAACTGTGTAGAAGGTGTCCTGGAGTGGAAGTAAACTGAAGTAGCAGGATTTGATTAGAATGACCTCTAATACTGTAGATAATAGATTGCAATAGCCCTGAAAGGGAAAGTAGTGACTTCATGCATCTGTGTCTGTGGTTCATTTTCTTTAGGTGTATGGAGAAGACATCATGGAACCAGGGAACCTCATGTGGGTATCAGATTTTGTCTTCCTGGAGCTCTCACAGACTTGGTAGCTCCAGCATTTCCTATTTTTAATGTTCCTGTGTGTCTACATCACCACTGTGGTGGGAAACATCCTCATAAAAAATGTGCTCCACTGTTCCATCTCCTCTGTTCCAGGAGCTCCTCAGTGACTCTACCACAGCCCCTGTTATCCTGTAACCTGCAGGTGCTGGGAGATCCACGGGGAGGGCGGCAGAGCATCCGGAGGCTGAAATGGTCCTGCCCGCTAAAGAAATTGTGACATATCACTGAGTGCAAAACCTAGTGGACCTAGTGTCATATTACTTGAGGCTGTACCCAGGTGATATGACTCTTCTGACTTGGTCCTGCCTGCAATGGAGATTATAATGTATCCAAAGCTCAAGATCCAGAATCCTGTGCATAATAAGGATTGTGACATCTCACTGGACCAGCACCCACCCCGACCCTGCCTACAAATGAGATTATACTGTATCACTGGCTCAGCATCCAGGTGATGTGACTCTCCTGCCTTGTTCCTGATTACAGGCCAAGACCACAGATGAAATTGTGCCATATGTGGAAAAAGCACCTAAGCAAGATAAAACACCTTCCTTGGCTCTCCCTACAAAAAACACTTTTATATATAAATGGGACCATCACCCAGGTGATGTGAATTATCTGTCTGAATCCTGCCTACAAAGAGAATTGTGTCTTGTATCTAGGTCTGTCATGTAAACAATGTGACTCCCTTCTGCTATCTCGGCTTTGCATTTAGAGTGCATTGTGACACATAACTGAGTACTGCACCAAGGTGATGTGATTCTCCTTTTTTGGTTCTGCCAAAAAAAGCATTGTAACATATCACTTGGCTCAGCAAATAGGTAGTGTTTCACTGCTTTTGCCTGGGCCCTGACCACAGGCAGATTGTGACACATTGCTGGGCCCAGCATCAATGTGAGGTCCCTCTTCAGCACTGGTACTGGATATAAGGGCCACATATATCTAGGCCAGTTGCCTAGGTGAAGTGAGTCCCATCTCTTTCCAAAGTCCTGCCTGTTGATATTCACTCAGAGTGGCTGGCAAGATATTAATTATTAGGAAAAGTGATAGACTGTAATCTGAAATCTTTTGGAAGGCCAAAAGGTTTTACTGAGGCATGCTGAAGGCAGCCGCCTCATTAACATTAGCATAGGAAAGAGAGACGATCCAAGGCCTTTTCCACCTTAAGTGTGTTTACCCCACATCCCTTGGTCTCCACTCCGTTTACTCATGTAAACTTTGTGCTGGGTGACCCTCTCCGTGAGAGATCAAAGGGGAATTACATGTAAATAGTGTTTCCTCTTGGCCCAGAACCTAAAGCTTTCCTCATTCATATAACCAACCACTCTTTTAACCATGTTAATTATCCACAAGTGTGTTAACTTAGAACCTCTGTTGTAAATCTGGATGGAATAAATGTGTGGATGGACAGAGGGCGTTGGTCGATTGGTTGCATTTCACCCTCTGAAAGCAGCCAATGGCCATCCCTAGCCCACTTGTATCACTGTAAAAAAAAAAAAAAAAGTGCCAGTCAAGGGAGGTCAGGGGAGGGTGCAGCCCTCCCTTTCAGGCATCTCAGCCCCTGCCTTTTCTGTGTTCCTCCCACTTCCCTTCTCCACCCCCGCCCCCACACTCCCGAGTAGCTTCTATCCTCAGGATAGGAGCAACCAGCCCCCGCGGCGTCCCAGGAAGCTCCTCTTGGCCAGCTGCAGAGTCAGTATAATTGGTGCAGCCAGCGCCGCCTGTCAGACTCCACTCAAGAACAGTACCCACGCTGGGTACACCAGGCCTGCCTTGCCCTGCTCAGGCCTGAGGCATCCTCCCAACCTGTGGGAGGAGGCGGCCCTCCATTGGGTCACATCTGGGAGCTTGGTTTAGAATTAGTCCCAGGTTGAGATCCCCTTCCTGGCTTCAAGACCATGATACATTCTTTTCTCCCTGCCTCAATGATCAAACAAGTCGCAGTTAGCAGCCCCCGCCTCAGAGGGTTGCTACAAGGACTCAAGCCAGAGCGATAAAGCACAGGGCACTGGGCTGGCAGACGACAAGGGGCAAGGGGCAAGGAATTGCCCCAGTCAGCCATGCCCTCTCCTGCTAAAGTCCAGCACTACCAGGGTGCCAGTCACACTGGCAGTACCCAACGGGTCACATGCCCCAGTGAGCCTTCCCACTCATTTCTTCATTGATCCAAAGCAAGGTCTGTCTCTTCTGCAAGCCCACAAACCCCCTCCCATGTCCCAGGCCCTGCCCTTGGGAGCTCCTACTCTGATGGAGGAGGTCGGACTAGGAGCTCCCAAGGGCAGGGCCTGGGACAAACTCTCATATCAGGCCAAGGCAGGAGGGAGGAGAGAAGGGACAGATGCTTGCCCTCAGCTGGGCCTCTAGCCTGGACCTGTGCACCTCCCAAGTGCTCACCAGAGAGCCCTCCTGCCCCCTTCCACAATCCTCTGCTTGTCCTTTAGTGATTTTACTAACAGATCAGAGAGGCCAAGTTCTTGCTCAAGGTCACACAGTCAGAAGTGGTGAGAGACTTTCAGGTCAGCTCTACAAGTCCCCAGACTACATTTTCTTCAGCTTTGCTAAAGGCAGAGGACTGAGAGCTTCCTTGGTCAGGAGAGTCCGCAGCTCTGGACCACACATGTACACATGTATACATATACACATGCACGCATGTGCACAAACTCCTGGCCTGCCTCAGCCTCTGGTACAGTGTGGGGTCACTGCAGTTTGAGCCAGAACTCTTCCTTCTGCACACCCTCAGTATTCTTATGAAAATAGGGCCAAGGACCTCATTCTTAGAAAGCCCTGGGAGCAGAAACAGGCCCCTCAGGCCCCAAGCTCTGGCCAGTCCCTGCTGCGTCGGTGGGGGCCGTTGGAGTTAAGCAGATAAAGAGATCTAATCAGACCTGTGGCCAGCAGCTCCACCATGGACGGTTCTTGTGAAAGTGTTTGCAGAAGCTTGAGGTTTTGAGCTGGCCAGACGAGGGTGGGCAGGTGGGGAGGATCTTGGATATTGCAGCTGAAAGAGGCCCAGGAAGGAGAGCTTCATTATGGTCTCGGTTCTGGATTCTGCCCAGGCAGGGCCAGGCCTGCCACAGCATCCACTGACCCAGGGCTGGCGTGGCCCTGGAAGAACAATGTCCCTGAGAAAAGGCACCAGATCCTGATGGATGTACAGGCACAATCCATTCCCTGACTCAGGAGCCATGACAGGCAAGGTGACAGCAAATGCTTTCATTCCACAGACACGTATTCAGCCCCTGCCAAGCATTGTGTAGGGTAATGCGGTTACAGTGAGCATCAAAACAGGTGCACGCCTTTTTTGGTGACACTCACAGACCTGCAGAGACTGAAGCTCAGTCAAATCCAACCATAGAGATATGTGTTTCATGATGTTACTCTCTAGGAAGGGAGCTACAAAATTAAGGAATGGGAAAGCCCAGCCTATGGAGGTGGGACAGAAAAGCTCCCTGCGGAGCTGGAGCGTTCATGGGAGTTGGCCAGGCAAACAGATGGAGGACGCTTCACGGTTATGACCCAAAGCAGGAAGGAGATAGGCCCATTTTGGAGACTGAACGCCAGTGGATTCAGAGGACAGAGGAATAGAGGGTGAGGGGTGGACACTGGAGAGGAAAAGTGGCAGGTGTCAAACTGTGCAAATCTCTGCAGGGCCCCTTTCCTCAGGAGCAACTGCAGCAGAGGAGACTGGATGCTTATGGGACCAGCGGTGCCAAATCTCCCAATGCCTCACACTCCCACAGCCACCAGGTAGGGAGGGACAGCAGCAACCACAAAGCTGCCTGGTCACGGCCCTGCTCCCTAAAGACACCTCCACTTTCTCTGTCCCCTTCCTTCCCAGTCTCCAAGCAGCCTTGTGTTCTCCTGTAACCCTGAGAGCGGTCTTTCTGATGGGTCCCATTGCAAACCTTTCCTTCTGCGCGGCTCAGTGTTGGACATTCCTGTGCCCATTTCCCTTTCTGGGGAAGAGCTCTCCCACATGACTCCCCAGCCCCTGAGGTCCAACTGGGCCCTAGACTTGTAGGGAGCCTGGCCCAGGCCCAGCAGTGGGTGCTGGACTCCACTTATTGAGGGAGGAGTTCACACAGGCCTTGAAGGGAGCTGGGCTTCCCAAATGCCTAGCCCTGGGAGGTGTCCCAAGTGATGTCCCTAGCAGGTGACCTCTATGCCCAGTGGGCTGTCCATCCTCAGACAGCACCCCTCTAACCACCCACCTAGCCAGCCTTACACTGGGGGTGGCCTCAGGACCCACCTGGTACCCACCCTAAGGTCCTTCAGTCTCTACATCGCCACAGGGTGGCAACCCCGCCCCTGCCCTACCCCACCCACTTGGTTTATCAATGTCAAAACCTTGGGAGTGACTGAACTGCCATCTGGAGAAAAAAGAGGATTTGGGATTTGGGGAGGGAAGGGGACATTCCTTCTTTTCCAGGGTGAAAAAGGGTGTGTGGACTCACAAAGTTAGTCTGGGATGTGGTTCACTCATGTTTCACAGATATTTCTGAGCACTGGCCCCGGGCCAACCCTGTTCTGGATACTAGGTATGCAGCTGTGAACAAGACCAGGACTGGGGCTAAGTGGCCGGTCCAGGAGATGGACACGGTGACAGCATGCCTTCAGTACAGCGCAGTGTGTGCCCCGCAGACATAAGGGGGCCATCTAATTCAGATCATATCTGGGTAGTGAACAGGAAAGGGACGAGGGAAGGCTGCCTGGAGGAGGCACCTTCAGACATAAAGGGGGGCAGCTAATTCAGATCATATCTGGAAAGTGAACAGGAAAGGGGCGAGGGAAGGCTGCCTGGAGGAGGTAATGATGTGGCTCAGTTGGGAAGATGAGTAGAAACTAATCAGGCAAAGGGAACACATGCAAAGCCCGAGAGGTGCATCAGAAACCTTCCGCGGGGATGAAGCTGGAGTGCGGAGGAATGGTGGTGGAAGGGGTGAGGGCAGAGGCTGAAGAGGTGCTGCAGGGCCTACGAAGCCGTGGAAGGATTTGGAGTTCCCTCGGCTGCTGCTGAAGGGATATCATACATAGACCCCAAAGTCTGTGACCCTGCCCACTAGGACCCTGGACGGGCTGGGCTCATCCCAGTATAGCCCATGAGCTGTTCCTTTCCACCTCCAGGTGCTCAGAGCCCAGTGCTCTCCTCTTCCCTCTCCCTAGGGACCTGAAATGTGTTGAAGGCGGGGTGGGGGGGAGGGTGTGGAAGGACATGAAAGCCTCCCAGCTTGTCACTTAGCAAAGGTAATAGAAGGGGCAAATGCCAGTACCAAGGACAGGGCAGAAGAAGCAGTCTGCCTCGATGCAGAAAATAAGGAGTGCGTCATCTGTAGGGAGTTTACAAGAAGTAGCAACAACTCAGACAAAAGCTCAGGCTGCTTATGATGATCATCATGCAGGGGCAAGTTTACGTAATTTCAGAGCTCAGATCCTACTCCCCACAGAAGTCCTGTGTTGGTCTAGATTCTAAACCATTGCTGTGATTACCATGGGGCTTTAATAACAAGCGGAAGCTTCAAGTTAATGCCCTTTTATTGATTATCCTTTAAGAAGCACCGTCTTCCCTGTGGAAGTCGGCTGGGAGAATTCCCAGTCGTACAGCGGCTCGCTCTGCAGTGTGTTTCCTCTGAGAGCGAAGGCCGTTGGCTCGGAATCCCCTGAGCGGGCTTTGGTGTAACATGCGCCTCCTGCCCCTGGCAGCACGGCAGATTCTTGCATTTAAACAGTTTGTTTGATACAAACAATGACAGCACCGTGATTGTAAAGATGAAAACACAAAACTCGATTTTTAAGTGCAAATTTTGCTTCATACGTGAAATAGTTTACTGAACTACTTTAAGATCTAGTTTGTTCTTCTGAATTTGTAATTGTTCATTTTAAAACGAATGAATGAATCAAGAAGATAGAAAATGTAATGACATATTAAATATTAAAACTACAAATATGTATGTAGTTTCCCCCTTTATTTAAAATGCATTCACATAATTTAAAAGTATAAATCCATTATACTTTTCTTTTGTATATTACCTTTTTTATTGTTATTTCTCTACTGGCATGATTATACATAAAGTTCAATAAAAAATAACTTTTCATATATTTCTTTTCTGGCCATTATTATGACTTGCTTCATTTAATGAGTATTACTAAAAATTATTTTGTTGTATAGAGGAGTGGGTATCAGAAAATAAACCGTTCCTAGGCCGGGCGTGGTGGCTCACTCCTGTAATCCCAGCACTTTGGGAGGTCAGGAGTTCGAAACCAGCCTGGCCAACATGTCAAAAATCCATCTCTACTAAAAATGCAAAAATTAACTGGGCATGGTGGTGTGTTCCTGTAATCCCAACTACTCGGGAGGCTGAAACAGGAGAATCGCTTGAACCCGGGAAGTGGAGGTTGCAGTGGGCTGAGATCGCACCACTGCACTTCAGCCTGTGTGACAGGGCAAGACTCCATCTGGAAAAAAAAAAAAAAAATCTCTTCCCAGTGTCAGATACCCCAGCTTGCTACTGCACAACACTTAACATTAAGGAAAATCTCACCAGTGAAATTCCAGTGGGCATGATGAAAATCCCGCAGAGGGGGACCCTTGCCCACACTCCTCTTCTTGTCCCTGCACGTGGTTGGACCTGACCAGAGGGAGGAAAAAGCAGACGTCAACGTGGGCCACTGTGAGACAACGTGAGCACCCGGCATGTCACCTGCCCCCTGGTGGGGGCCGCAGCTGGGGAGGGTGGGTGGGGCCCAGGCTGGAAAGCCCCTGGAGAGGAGCTGCAGGGGTCCCCATCACTCCGTCACATCCTTTCACTCGGTCTTCAGTGGCCCCAGCCCAGCAGCTGGCACGCCCCCTCTGACACAAGGAGGAGCACTTGGAGAGCCTCGGCCTGAACAGCCCTGACTTTGGAGGCATCCCTTCCAGGCACCCAGTCCTGAGGGGTCTGCAAAGCCCTTGCACTCATTGCCCCCACCCTTCAAGGCCATGGCAATTGCTGCCCTTGACAGGCCACCTCAAGTGACCTCAATAAAGGAAGCAACAACAGAACAGAAAAACAAGTTCTGTTCAGCAACATCGTTGACTGCCTGCTATGTGTCAGGAGTGGTGTCTGCAAGGCAGACTAGGAATGACCTCCATTTGACTATGAGGAGCTGGGCTCAGAGGCTGAGGACCCTACCCCAGTGATGATGGTGTGGGATGGGGACCAAGGTCAGCTTGTAGTCCACTCTCTGTACTGCTCTCAAGGAGCTCCTGCCTCCTAAGTCCTAGCCCAGCTTGTGGGGTGACTCAAATAGCTTCCCAGAGGGCCCTGCAAGGAAGGGGAAGCCTCCAGCAGAATTAGGAGCTGCTTGGAAGGAGAGGAAAGGTGAGGTTTGTATGTGGAAGGTTAGGATGATTGGAGGCTAGGGCTGGTCCTGTGGGGAAAACGCGGCAGAAAGTAGGCTAAGGGGGCATCCAGAGACCAGGAGAGCAGGTAGCAGGCTGAGCAATCGATAGGCCGAAATCCCCGAGAGATGAGCCAGCATGGCGGGGCTGGGCTCAGAGACCACGATTCTGCCTCAGGCTTGTCCCAATAATCCACAACAGCCCACAGCTGTGGAGAAACTCTTGCACTGATCACTACCGCTGATGAACTAGAGTCACCTCTGCAGGGAGAGCAGAGCTCACTCTGAGAGCTGGGGACCCTGGAAGTATAGCAACCTGGGATACGTGCACCCCACCCCAGCTCCAACCTGGGTGACATACACCCCACCCCAGCTCCAACCTGGGTGACATACACCCCACCCCAGCTCCAACCTGGGTGACATGCACCCCACCCCAGCTCCAACCTGGGTGACATGCACCCCACCCCAGCTCCAACCTGGGTGACATACACCCCACCCCAGCTCCAACCTGGGTGACATACATCTCACTCTAATTCTATCCTGGGGTACATACACCATACCCCAGCTCCAAACTGGGGTATATGCACCCCACCCTGCCTCCAACCTAGGGGACATACAGCCCACTCCAACTCCAGCCTGAGTGACATACACCCCACTGTGGCTCCAAGCTGTGGTACATACACCCCATCCAGCTCCAACCTGGGGTACATGCCTTCCACTTGGCTCCACCCAGGAGCACCTGGCTCCCTGAGGTCAGGGAGGTGACACACAGCTGAGGAGTGCTTTGTGATTTATACAGTCTCTCTCCTCCACGAGGTTCACTGTCCCCATCTCAAAGGTTTGGAAACAGCTCCATGGAGGGGTGTGCTTTACCCAGTGGCGCAGTGGGGCAGCATCAAGGAACCCAGTGCACTTTTAGCTCCTACAGTGACTTCCACCCAGGCCCCTGTCACAGGAGAGGGGCCTTTGTTAAAGAAAAGAAGATAAGATCAGGAGGGCCCGGGCCATCAACGGGAGCTTGTGAAAGGGGTTGCCGAAGCGAAGCGGTTGTTTCAAGAGCAACTGTTAGGCTAGTAGTGTCGCTGTGGGAGGAGGAAGCTGTGGAGGGCACTGGGCAGGGTTCCGGGAGGGCGTGGGGGTGGGGGAGGAGATGGGACACTCGGAACAGCCTCCCTGGGAGTCTGGAGCAGGCATGGAGTCCACAGTGAGGAAGAATGGGTGTGTCCTCCTGAAGAAGGGGTGAGGACATGCTGCTGGCCGCAGCGGTGGTGACTCTGGAACTGTCTCAGGTATGAGCACATGCTCTCCAGGCAGCCAGAATGAGGTCAGAGGCAAAGGACGAACACGGCTCATCCGGGGCAGGGAAGGCTTAGGTGCAGAGAGGATGGGCCCTTGCAGAAGGCCAACTGGGACGCATTCTGCACTTAAGGTGGAAATGAAGGCTCACCCAAGGTCACGAAGCTAGTGACAGGGCTGGATTCAATGAGGCCAGTCAGAGCCTGGGGCAGCACATTACCTCTAAAGAAGCTGCTTCTCACCAAGCCCAACAGGAACTCAGAATTCGAACCTACTTCTCAGAGTCAATCTACTACTGATTGGCATTGAAGAAATGCCAAGAGAATAAAGCCCACGGCAGGCGCTTACCTTAGGCTCCCCAGCAGCTCCCTCGGCTGGGTGCGCTTCCTGTGACATCCCGCTGCGCCCCCAACATGGCCCCATGAGGGATTTCACTGCCAGGCCCTGCCTCAGCCACAGCCTCACACTCTCCCTGACACCTTGGAGGGAGTGGGTAGCACTAGGGGATAAGGAGAGGGGCCAAATCATTCATCGCAGATCATTCATTCACTCAGCAAACACCTGCTAAGCACCTACTAAATGCTGGGCTTTGTGCTGGGTATGGGTGTGTATAACTGTAAGGCAGATTCACTTTCTGCCCTGTTGGGGAGGAGAAGCACCTTTCCAACCATCGGGCCCAATTCTCATCCTAGGGATGTGAAAACTGAGGCCTGGAGGGGGAAAGTGGCTTGCCCGAGGCCATGCGGCCAGGCAGTGGCAACTGAGGTACACTGCTCTTCAATCAGCCAATGTATAGCCATTGAGCCACACCCATGTCCCAGGTGTTGCTCTGGGCCCAGGGAGACGTGCATCAGTGGGCTTAGTAGTACAGGCTAGGGACGAGTGAAGGGTAGGAAGGAAGAATGTCCCCAGACTGGCAAGGGGTGGGGCAGGGCGTTTCAGTCTCAAAACTCCCCTGAAAACCAGAGGGAGGTCCTAGAACTCCACCCAAGAGGCTGGGCTTCTGGGGCCTAGAGCTGCCCTCCCCCACCCTAGAATGGGCTATAAAAGTCCCTTCCCAGCTACATCCAGAGAGGAGTAGGAGGAGGTGAGAGATCAGCTGGGGGTCTTCGAAGTGAGAGGGGAGCAGAAGACCCTCCTGTGCAGTCTGTGGGTGTCACTCACATCCTAGCTGGTGAAGTCTCACTGCAGAGATGCATCTGCTCCCAGCCCTGGCAGGGGTCCTGGCCACACTCGTCCTTGCCCAGCCCTGTGAGGGCACTGACCCAGGTAACAGCCTCCTAGATGGCCAAGGAGGAGGGAAGGGAAATGGAGGGGGAAGAACTTGGGTCTGGAGGGAGGGTCTTGTGGCTCCCAGAACCCTGAGCCTCCATCTCTTTGAACAGCCTCCCCTGGGGCAGTGGAGACCTCGGTCCTCCGGGACTGCATCACAGAGGCCAAGTTGCTGGTGGATGCTGCCTACAATTGGACCCAGGAGAGGTGGACTTGGGTCTGTGGGCTGCATGGGCCTGGGAGGATCAGTGAGAGGGGAGCTCCAGCCAAGGTGCCCACCACCCTGAGCAATCAATAGGCCCAGTCCCCAGGAGATCAGCCATCACCCATCATCTCACCCATCACCCACCTCTGGACCCCATGAACCTCTCCTGTTGGTAGAGCCTCCCTTCCATCCATCCTTCCGTCCCCGGGCCCTATCCTGACTGTCCCCCAGGACTGGGCCTCTGCTGGGTGGGTCTGGACCCCCTCTCCAGGCCTCACTCCTCCTCTCCTGGGCAGCATCAAACAGCGGCTTCGCAGCGGCTCAGCCAGCCCCATGGACCTCCTGTCCTACTTCAAGCAACCGGTGGCAGCCACCAGGACAGTTGTTCAGGCTGCAGATTATATGCATGTGGCCTTGGGGCTGCTGGAAGAGAAGTTACAACGCCAGCAGTCTGGACCCTTCAATGTCACTGGTACTCTGCTTCCACTGAGCCCCCTGGGCCTGCCCCAGCCTGGAGTGGAAGGAAGCCAGGAGAGGGAGGCAGGGTGCACAGGCTTGGGGTGCTGGGAGGAGAGAGGATAAAGAGATGGGAGGTACGAAGCCGGCAGCTCAGGCCTGCCCACTTGCCCTCCCCAAGATGCGCTAACAGAACCGCAGCTGCGGCTGCTGTCCGAGGCCAGTGGCTGTGCTCTCCAGGACCAGCCAGAGCGCTGCAGCCGCAAGTACCGCACCAAGTACCGCACCATCACCGGGCGATGCAACAACAGGTGCGCACGGGGCTGCACCTGCGGGGGGCCTCCCTTCCCGCACCCATCCTCTTCCTCCTTGCTGAGCCATCTCCAGGCCCTGCCCCTGCTAACCGTACCCCCTACCCCCCACCCCCCACTGCTGCAGGAAGAGACCCTGGCTAGGGGCCTCCAACCAGCCTCTGGCTCGCTGGCTGCCCGCCGAGTATGAGGATGGGCGGTCGCTCCCCTTCGGCTGGACCCCCGGCAGGAGGCGCAATGGCTTCCTCCTCCCTCTTGTGAGTCGGGGTTGAGGGTGTGGAGGTTGCTTGATCTCTTAAATTCGGGGAGTGAAACACAGCCCAGAGTCTGCCAGGCAGGGCTTGAGCCCAGGCCCTTCCACTGACCAGCACAGTGACTTGTGGCAAACAATACAGCTTTCTGAGACTTAGTTTCCTCATCTGTAAAATGGCACTAAAACCTATCTTGCAGGGCCTGTGTGAATATTAAAGTCCTTGGTATAAATAGCTATATAGGACATGCTCTATTCACGCTAACCGTTACGGTGTTGTAGGGCTTTTTCTGAGAAAATTAGTGTCAAAGTCTCTTGCTAAATATAAACAGCTCTCTATACTTTCATCTGGCTTTATCTATTGATCTATTTCACATTCATCAACTCATCAGTTTTCTGTTGATATATCAATGGAGCAGTCTATCATCTATCAACATCTATTAATTAATTTTCTTCTATCCGTCCTTCCACCCACTGACCTAGTACTCCCTCCATGTGTTATCTATCACCTGGCAGCCAGCTCATGCACCTGCGAGTCAGTGCTGTCATCTGGTTAGCTATCAGTCTATAAATTGATCTATCGATTTCACCTGCTTTCCCCTCTGGACGAGCCGGTGAGGTCTGAGGCGGTCCACCTGGCCCCTCTCCTTCTCTTTACCACTGGAATCCCAGAAACCGTCCTTCTGGGAGCGACAACAGGAGGTGCCTACGTCTCCAGGGACAAAAAGGGAAAGGGGTGTGGGGAGCAGAAGAGGAGAGGCTCTGGGTTCCAGCAGGGGAGCTGCTGCTCCCTGCGTCCTGGGTTGGCTGTAATACCTTGTGGTGTCAGGGAGCCCGTGGCTCATGCTGACGTTATTTCCCCACCAGGTCCGGGCTGTCTCCAACCAGATTGTGCGCTTCCCCAGTGACAGACTGGTCTCGGACCGCGGCCGGGCCCTCATGTTCATGCAGTGGGGCCAGTTCATTGACCATGACCTAGACTTCGCCCCGGAGTCCCCAGCCAGAGTGGCCTTCACTGCAGGGGTTGACTGTGAGAAGACCTGCGCCCAGGTGCCCCCCTGCTTTCCCATCAAGGTACCCTCAGCAATCTCCCATGCCCTTCTGTGGCCTCCTCCAAAGGCAAGGTGCTGGGGGTGGGGATTTGGAGGACTGAAGCACCATCCTTAAGGAGCTGTCTGTGGAGCTAGGGTATGAGATCAAGACACAAGAAACACAGCTGAGCAGAAACCCCATGCCATGTGTGTTTGAGAGGTGGGGGCAGAGCAACCTGCCAGGAGGCTCAGGTCAGGCTTCATGGAGTGGGAAAGTCTTGAGACAGGCCTTGACCCATGGGTCTGAATCCAACAGGGGAAGCCTGTGGGTCCTGCTTTTGGCAACCTAAGGGCCTCTTAGCTCTTGCTCTTCTCTCCTTCCCAGAGTGGTCCAAGGGCCCTGCGGCTCTTGCCAACTTCTTGGGTTTGGGCTGTGGGTGGGGTCCTAGCCTTCAGGCTAGAAGGCAAGGACAGTGCGGGGCACTAGGGGAGAAAAGATAGAGTCCAGGGAGCAGAGTCTCTGCTAGGGACATAGAGGTGACACACGTGCACACACCCTCACATACACACCTTAATAGGTGGGGCCACATTCATGAGGGGTGACATGTGAGGGCCTCTGGCTGGCCTCTCCCTGTTGCAACCTTATCTATTCCTCAATCCCTGGCTCAGGGGCACCTCATCTGGGGAGGCTTCTCAGATCACACCTTTAGCATACGACTTCTTTTCGCCCTCTTCTCTTCTCTTCTTCTCTGTTCTCCTCCCCTCCCTCCTTTCTTTTCCTCTTTCTTTCTTCCTTTCTCTCTTTCTTTCGTTCTTTATTATTAGTAGTAATTATTATTATTTTTTTTTGAGACAGAGTCTCACTCTGTTGCCCAGACTGGAGTGCAGTGGTGCAATCTCAGCTCACTGCAACCTCTGCTTCCTGGGTTCAAACAATTCTCATGCCTCAACCTCCCGAGTAGCTGGGATTACAAGCATGTGCCACACGGCTAATTTTTGTATTTTTAGTAGAGATGAGTTTTTGCCATGTTGACCAGGCTGGTCTCAAACTCCTGGCCTCATGTAATC